GTTGTTTCTCTATGGGAGAATCCGTTCACCCGGTATATGCAGCGTCGAACGCATTAACGCGAGCCGCGGCAAAGCTGTTGCGCACTGGCGACACGAAAGTGCAATGCACCGTGAATAGGCTGCACCAGAGACGAACGCTATTATTCGGTGACAGTGATACGCGCGTTCGAGCCGCGTGAACTTCTGTTTCAGAAGTGTCGCGCGAGTGTTTCGCGTTCGATCGTTCGCCAGTCGCGCGGATCGGGAGCCAATCCACTCGGCTTTCTTTCACGCCTCGCATCCGGCTGTCGTTCGCGTGTTACCGAGGTGTTGACTCGTTGTATCTTGCTCCTGTTGTCGAAACGCTGCCTCTCTGGTACACGTTTCGTCGCTCCGGCCAGTGTTTGAAGTGCAACCAAAGGAATACTACGAAGTACGTTCTATCAGATTCTCATGTTGGCTTGAATATTTGATAGCCTTGACGCAAAAGAAGCTTTCCTGTCCTTTTTAAAATTTTTCATTCGAAAGTTTAAAATCTGGAGTTTGAATTTCAATTTCAAAACTTCAAACGTCAAATCTTCAAACATTTTTAGTTCTAAGTTTCAGTCTTCGAATTCTAATTTGCAAACTTCAAACGTCAAGTCTTCAAACATTTCAACTTTCAATTTTCAATCTTCAAATTCCAATTTGCAAACTTCAAACGTCAAGTCTTCAAACATTTTAAGTTCCAAGTTTCAATCTTCGAATTCTAATTTCCAAATTTCAAACGTCAAATCTTCAAACATTTCAACTTCCAATTTCCAAACTTCAAACGTCAAGTCTTCAAACGTTTCAACTTCTAAATCTCAATCTTCAAATTCCAACTTGCAAACTTCAAACGTTTTCAAGCTTCAACTTCAAGTCTTCAAACATTTCAACTTCCAAATTTCAATTTGCGAATTTCAAACGTCAAGTCTTCAATCATTTCAACTAAATTTCAGTCTTCAAATTCCAATTTCCAATTTCCAAACTTCAAACGTCAAACCTTCAAACATCTCAACTTCCCAATTTCAATCTCCAAGTTCCATTTTCTAAGTTTCATTTTCCAAGTTTCAAACATCAAATTCAAAACTTCATATTCAATTTCGCACCGCGCCATTCAAACACCTCCAAAAACAGGGAAAAACAAGAAAAAACCTCCATAAATCAACCCTACGTCTCCAACGCAGCCGTTTCTAGCACACGAGCTGCTCAGTTCTCAGACCGCTCGCGTATAAAGACGTACAACCGCAGCAAGACAGCGGCAACAAGAAAATCGGTTTCTCGATCGTGTTTCTCGTCGCAGAAGCCTGTGAGCAGTCGGACGCGTTACGCATTGTAGCCGCGAGGCGGTCAGCGGCGCGTATCCGCGCCACGTGGTCTTTAAAACACAAGGATCGTCCTGTCCCGTCCTCTCTCGCCGCGCCAGTTTTTCGCGGCGTCCGCTCGAACAACGGATCGTTTCCTCTTTCGCCGTGAGAGAAGCATCGACACCGACCTCGGAACCGTTAGCCGCTGTCCACGTACGCTTTTAACGGCTAACAGGCCTTTTCCCGTCACGATAATTAGCGTCTAGTCGGCCCCGTGAAAGAACCTCTTTCTTCGCCGTGATTTTTTCCCTCTTGCCCGTCTTTTGTTCTTTTTTTCGAGCGATTTCTTTTCACGAGTGACGCAAGCGACCGCGCGCGCTTTCCGTTAGCAGCGATACCAGGGAATAGGAAGTCTTATCTGTTATCTGAGAGCATTAGTGGCTTATCTGTGGATGCGATTGTCTTGCTTCGACTTCTTTTTTTCCTGCTTCTTTTTCGTTGGAGATATCTTTGATAATCTAAAATAGTGCAATAGTTATCTTGAAGGGGCTGTTTGTGAACAATTTCTGAAACGTAATATTTGTTTCATTTTTCATTTGGAAAATATCATTTTCTTTGATCTGACGTTGATTTTTCAATAGTAATCTTGGAAACAGAAATTTGTCAGTTAATTCAATCAAATATTTTAATACCTTGTAACTTGATAAGTTTTAGAGACACTACCTTATCTTTTTTAAAGTGAATTCATTCGAAAGTTGAAAATAAAGTTTAGGAATAATTTATGAAGTAGCCGAGATTCGTTATAATGCGAGGGAAATCCGTGTCTGGAGAAGTTGCATTTTCGAAAGGAACAATTGGCCTGAGAAACTTGGATCTTAGATCTTGAATCTTGGATCTTCGAGTCGAAGTTTGCTTGTTAGCACGAGTCTCGTACTATAACTCGAAGGGATTCCATTCGCGCTCGCTGGAGCCCCGTTCTCCGTTCGTTTCTGTCTCTTGCCAGGGACTTCATATATTATTCATTATTGCACGGTATGCTCGGCGATTTCTTTCGCAGCAGAAGTCGGCCCTGATTGCCAGGAATCCTCTCGCAGGTGGCACCTGCGCGACGTTAGCATCGGCTTAACTTGTTAACTCTTCATTCGCGTCCGATTCGTCTTCCAGTAACTTTCCCTTTCGCTTATTTATTTGTTTATTTACCCGGCGATTCCCGCGTTTTATCGGAGTACGATGTTCGCGATAGTACCGGGCTGTTACGCTGTATTCGATATTTATCGGCGTGGAATGCCGACTGTAAATTAATTTTATTTGCTTGAGTTATGCTTTGGCGAGTGTTTGCACTTGAAATATCGACCGGTTAACGAGTTAACCATCGTTGCCTGATGAAGCTTGATTCTGTGACATAATCTCTCCCTCCATCTCTGGATGACGAATTAACCCTTTCAGGCCTGCAGAGATATATATGTGAATCATATGAAATGTACTCGAATTATTTGTATGGAATGATTGTAACTGAGCGTTCTATAATCTGCTTTGCATATCAAATTTTCTTGTCTTCAGATTTTTAAATATTAATACTTTTAAATCTTCGAATCTTCGAATATTACAAATTTCAAATCTTTAAGTCTTCAAATTTCAAGTTTTCAAACTTTTGTATATTTAAACATTCAAATCTTCAGTCCTTCAAACCTTTAAACATTCATATCTTCCAACATTCAAATCTCCCAACGTTCAAATCTTCAAACATTCGAATCTCCCAACATTCGAATCTCCCAACATTCGAATCTCCCAACCTTCGAATCTCCCAACCTTCGAATCTCCCAACCTTCGAATCTCCCAACCTTCGAATCTTCAAACCTTCGAATCTTCAAACCTTCGAATCTTCAAACCTTCCAATCTTCAAACCTTCGAATCTTCAAACCTTCGAATCTTCAAACCTTCGAATCTTCAAACCTTCCAATCTTCAAACCTTCAAACCTTTAAACATTTAAATTTTCAAACATTCAAACATTCAAACGTTCAAATCATCAAACTCCCACATGTTCCAAATTCCTAACACGTTTGAATCTGAAACTCGGAACAGAGCCATTTCCACGGCGCTGAGAAACGCGATCGAAGCTCGTTCACCGTTCGATCTTATCGAGCGGCGGCCTCGGCAAGATTTATACCTGTCGTAAAAAGTTTTCCCGAGCTGCGACTCGTACGTGGATGGTGTTGCTGAATCGTTGAAATCGATCTTGCTCGGCGTAACACTCATTTCGGTCAAGGAAAGAAAACGAACGAACGGTTCGGGAAAAAGTCGCTGCGACGCGCCAAGCGCTTCGTTGTTGTTCCAGTTCGCGGTTCCGTGGCTCGCTAGCATAGATCCGGTGGCGATGCATCAGTGGGAAATGCAGTTCGGTGTCAATGCGCCCGCATACCCGATAAACAAATAAATCATACTGATCGAGATCGCTTTCCATTAAGGCAGCTCGCGTAATTCGCGCAATCGCACGCTGTATTCCGCTGCGACTGTCCCTGTTTCTGTTATTTATAACGAATCGACGCGGACGGAATCCTTAATCGAAGAATGCGATCCGGTTCTCGAAAAATTCTACGACCTACCGTCACCACGGTATCTCTACTACTATAAATAACACCACACTCGTGACATGAAATAAATCGAGAATATTTTCCACGTTTCAATTACCAAAAATCAACCCTGTAACACGATTAACACCTAATACTCGAGACTCCTTACTGCAAGAATACAAAAAACTTCGTTCTCCACCATATTAATCAATATATTACCAATTTACAAAGTAACCAGAGTATTAGTAAACAATCCTCCATCGAGTAATCATAAATCTCGATAACCAAAGTTCACTCAATTAATTCTTCAAGGCACACTTGCATAAATTATCATTTCCATTCACGCAATCACATTTACTTTATATCATTGCAAACTAGATGAAAAACTAACTAAAACATTAAACTCTACGACTACGATTAACATCAATTGTTCAAGGTTAAATTATACACCAGCATGCATAGAAAGCTAAGCAAAGGGACAGTTTTTAACCGACGTAAAGAGTTAACGAATTGACAATGCCCATATTCTGTCTAATTGAAACGAAGATACTATTGTGGTATTAATTAGATTTAAGTATGTTTTATTTAAAAAAAACAGGAATAGATAATTGAATAAAATACAAATAAATAGAAACGATATAGCTCGCAGTGTACAGGTCTTTTCTCAGGTCACCGCAACTTTGCGGACGCCGATTCTTTGGAATGTAGGAAACCTTCAACGGATGAAGCTAAATTATTGCTTAAATAACAGCGAAAACAAACTATATACTAATCTCTTGCTGTCCGAGTAATTAAATCATTTGCCTGCGACTTAGTCTTCCAAGTATGAAAATTTCATCTCTCCGAAATGTCGACACGGGTTAACACAGACACTGGTGACTGACGCTTCTGAATGTCTAAAAAACAATCGTAACACACAAGATAACCAATGTAAAATAAAAATGTTTAACAACGCAACTAAGTTGATAGTGTAACGCAAACGTCGCAACGCCAAACAATTCATAAATATTCCTACTTTTGCCACAAAAGACAAACTCTATGAGAAAACGCTTAACGCGTTAAAATTACGATGCTAAACTATTGGAAGAAGGGTTTCTGACATTCTTATCGGTCTGATTGCAGGTCAGTTTCGTTGGACGCGCGACACCTGATCAACAGCATCCGGAAAGCGCGGGAACGAGGGAGACAGGTGAGACAGAGGAAGGATAGAGAGGCAAACGGAGCAAGATGGGAGGTAGACAAAGCAGAAGGTCCGTGGACATAACGACGACGCCTAAGAAGGAGGGGTTGCCGGCCGATGGCAGCGTCGGGGATGCCGCAGCACCTGGCGACGGCAAGCTGGAGAGGATCGAGGAGACCGACACGAAGCCCACCACCAACGGCATAGCGCCGCACACGGACGTGGCCGAGGATAAGGAGAAGGACAAGGATGAGGCCACGGAAAAGGAGAAGGACAAGGAGAAGGTGAGGGAACCCGATACCACCCAACCCCCCGGGAGCCTTCGATTTGCTTCTTTATCTCTTCGTTAGACGCGAAACTTACGCGGATGCGAGCCTTGATAGGGTACACGTAATTATCGGACCGTGGAATTTCAATTATACATTTTTCAACCGGCCGACCGTTGAGTGAGACCTCTCCGCCGTCCGTTCGTTACAGAAATCGTTCTAGGAAATCGAGAAGGAAATACTCGAATGCTGGGGATTCTTCTATTAAGGCTCCTCGGACTTTTCAGCTGAGTATAGTTACACGATTGCATCGAATTCTATGGTGTAATATTGGATCGTACGTTTCGAAAGAAAGTTTCTTCGATGGGCTCTGTAGAAACTACGGTGAAGTTTCATTTCGATTGATTGGCATTGAATCAAGTCCAGTGCTTACACGAACCTACTGTTTTCGTTCAGTCTTCTACGTTTAATGATGTAAATATTGGCAGAGGAATTCTCTGTATCAAGAATCGCGTGAGCCTCTCGAATGAGAGACTATTAACCCTTTGCACTCGAGAATGTTTTTCGCAGTAAGTATTCATCTTTTGATGAAATGTCAGTGGTATTCTTTGTAATTAACGTAAAGAGATACCTTGCGTAAATTAAGTGACAGAACTATATTTCGATGTTCCATGTGTTCGTATATTATAGAAAATTTAATATTTTCAATTTCACAATTTTCTTGGGTCAAAATAGGTTAACCCTTTGAACTCGGAAGTTTCTCAATGGAAATGTTCATTTCCTGACGAGATATAGGTCATATTATGTGAAACTAACGATAATTCGTAGATAAATCAAGCAACAGAGGTGTTTTATTTCAATATTTCACGTAGCAAGTTAAACTTCAATTTAAAATATTAAATATTCAACTTCACATTTCTGCTGCATCAAATCAAGTGGTGACTGAGTCACCTCTCGAGTGCAAGGGTTAAATTCACCGGTAGATCGTTATCTGTCGATGATCGCCGACAGAAGTTGGGCCACGCAGTTTCCCAGATAACGAACGCCCGACCAGAACCCGAGGAGACATACACCGCAGGGATTTGTGCAATCGCGACGGGTCTCGAGTCGAAAGTTGCAGGACGGGTCGCGTGCACCGCGTCTCGGCGATATCCCGCGAGATCACCGGTTCCCCGTATCTTGAGCTCCTCTAATCGCGACGCGAACGATGATTCACGCGTCCGTAGATCGTCTGCGTTCGAAGCTACCTCGAAGTTATCAGCTCTGCGAAGCGCGCGGCGATGAATCAGCCTTCGAAACTTCGAGATACTAGTGTTTACCTAGATACTATCGTCTCGATTGTATCTAACTCAATCAATAACGATGGCGCGATACGATCTATACTGACAATACCACTGAATAGATCAGTTTTTCTGTTTTGTTACGGTAGAGAGAATAAAAAGAACTCCCTTTACAACGGTGTAACTACAAAACGCCTCGTGACAGGTGGAAAACTGAAACAGGGGATGATTCTGCATTAAAAACTGAATAGAAAACATAGAAGAAAGTTTCCCGTGCGACCCTTCGTTACCGAGATAATCGAGTTCAAAAGCTCGTGCCCTCAGTTCAGCTGTCTGTGCATGACCTACCGTATCTACTCGTGACTTCTAAGGCGTTCCAACTTTGTCGAATATCTCGAAAACGAAAGTTCCTAGAGAGAAATCGTATCCCACATTTTCGATTCATTTGTTCGTGTAGATTCATCCCTTGTAGACTTCATCCCCTAATGTAAGAAGCCCTGCGCGCAGTTCGATCGGAAGGGGAAAAGAAATTTCAGCTACTTAACCACTCGTGATACATCGGTTATTGCAGCGCTCCTCGATGAAATTCATGCGTCACCGCCTCTAAGGAAGTGTATTATGTTCAGACAGCCGGTTCCTGATTACTCTACCGTGTCGCTAGCCCGTCTCCATCGCCGCGTTGCACAATCGGCTGTCCGCGCACGTGGCACGTCGCGCAGTACTATTCTGAGACTGACCTAGGAGATATGCTACGTGTTTGACGCCTTCGGGACGCTTTGATCGCTAGAAAAATCGAAACGGTCCTTCGGGGACAGTCTCGCGGGACACCTGGATCAGTCACTGGTATCTTGATGATACATGCGAATCAGTAACAATAGAAAAACCAGTGGCAACAACGTTGGCTTTTAACACTTAGCACTGCAGATTGTTTTGTAATCTATCAACTGCAATTTTTATAGTATTAGCGAAAATGAGAAATGCTATAACATTCCTTCGATCTTTTGTTTTCCTTAGTACAAAATTTGGATGCGTGAAAAATGTAATAATTGAATAATTTCTCATTTTCGCTAGGGATACTATAAAAATTAGTTGCAGTTGCTGATAGATTACGAAACAACCTGGAGTTCTAAGGGTTAAGATTACTACGTTACACAGGTAAATTATGTAGGAGAATAAAAATTCTACGAAACTTTGTAATATGAAATTCTTTAAGTTTCATTAGGAATACCATACGAATGGTTAAACATTTCCTCTTAAAATTCTAATTCTCTTTCACTATAAATCTGTATTAGCTTCCACAAACATTTCTTTTTTCACAAGCCAATGATATTCACACTATAGTGAATATCATTGGCTCTTTAAAAAACTGGGCTATCTCTACTTATCCTCCATCAACTATACAGAAAAATTCTGCATTAACTTCCACAAACATATTTCTTTTCTCACAAGCCAATGATATTCACGCTATAGTAGCTCTTAAAAAAACTGGGCTATCTCTACTTATCCTCCATCAACCATACAGAAAAATTAACCGTCTGGAGTGCTGTTCATTGATAGAATAACAATTTATTTCGCCAGTTCCCTTCGCTATTCGTTTTCCTCTTCGCTTATTCGCTATCTGAAAGCGTCGTCCGACCTGTCATCTTCCATCAACACCACGCCGGCATTCAATACCAACGAGAGCCGAAAATCACCGGCTGCCGCGTCGAGGTAAAAGATGTCACCCAGCCACGTCGGCGAGCATCGAAAGTTCGAACTGTCGCTCTCGACGAGCGCCGCGCGTCGAGCGTGTCAGTGTATTAACGTGAAATGCTCTCGGAGCTAGACGAAACTCGATATTTCCTCGATTGAGCAACCCCGGCGGCTGTCATGCACCAGATACGCCGGCGCGCGCGAGGGAAAAAGAAAATCCACGAAAGTCCGGGGGGAAAGAGAAAGAGAAAGAGGAAGAGGAAGAGGAAGAGGAAGACCGCCTCGTTCCTCCGCTCTGCCTCTTCCTTTCATTTCCGTTCAATAAGAAAAGCACCCGGTGCCTCGTACTTTCTTCTCCTTTCGATCGGCGCGAGCGCAGGAGCTCGCCGAGGGACGCTTATCTTCGCTCGTCCGCGATTTAACGCGGTTTCCGCGAACGTTCCGCGGCGTTACCTCCGCGGCCGGTGTTGTGGTTTCCAAGCGGCGGCCGCCGTTGCACGTTCCATCGATCGGCCGTTGCATTTCTAGAGCGGGAAAGGCGTACACTCGGCTTCCTGGAAAGAGTGTATTTTTATACGCGCATTACGCCCATTGTACCACTTTGCTCGGCCAGGATAACGATCTTTGTCGAAACGCCTCGCCTAGATTCGCACCTGGAGGGAACGAGTGAGCTATGGCCAACGAATGCTTCCGTTGGAATATTTTTCTTGCCGATCCGCGCCTCGAGCTGTTCGGAGGATGTAGGCGTGTAGGAGGATCTTATTTGAGCCTCATTCGTGGGATAGAGTGGTTTCGGTAATTGGATTACTGCCATTTTGGGAATTGAATGTTTGAGTTATCGAACTATGAAGTTTCTGAGTTGTTGAATGCTCGAATTATAGAATTTCTGAGTTACGGAATGATATAATTATAAAATTTCTGAGTTATTGAATGCTCGAATTATAAAATCTCTGAGTTCTTCAATGCTCGAATTATAAAATTTTTGAGTTACTGAATGTTCCAATTATAAAATTTCTGAGTTGTCGAATGCTCGGATTATAAAATTTCTGAGTTCTTGAATGCTCGAACTGTGAAATTTCCGAGTTATTGAATGCTCGAATTATAAAATTTCTGAATCACTGAACGCTCGAATTATAATATTTCTGAGTTATTAAGTGTTTCAATTATAAAATTTCTGAGTTATTGAATCTTCGAATTATAAAATTTCTGAGTTACTGAATGTTCCAATTATAAAATTGCTGAGTTATTGAATGCTTGAATTATAAAACTGCTGAGTTATTAAATGCTCGAATTATAAAATTTCTAAGTTATCGAATGCTCGAATCATAAAATTTCTGAATCACTGAACGTCCGATCTATTAAACTGAATTTCCAAACGTTTTAATTACTGCAATAACCTTCTACCATCACTCAGTTTCCACGATAACAGATAAGAGAAGAAACTTCTCCGGCATCTTTAGATACAATTACCGAACTTTCGCCATCTTAGTAATACATTCCCCATTATCCCCTGTTTCTTTCGTCTAATGAATATTAAGACTCCCTAACTGCAGAACAACAAGAGCGATAACTCAACTTCTAATTGGCAGGCATGGAATTCGCGTTTCGAGTATAGTTCGCTCGTTGCTCCCTCACCTCGCTGATCCCGGAGCAACATTAGCAATGAAACATTCATTCGCTCGAGAAACACTGCGCTCGTTCCGAAACCGTAACACGCTCGGAACTTTCGAGGTGGTAAAATGCATGTACGCGAGCCGCAATGAATTCCGCGGGGCGCGAGAAGGAAAGTGCGATCCCGCGAAACGTTGTTGTTTCGGCGTATCGCGCGCGGACGTAACACGGTATCGATTTCTCGATCTCGCTTTCACGCGCGAGCCGCGCTGGAACCGCGTTACGGTAATTCTCCGCGGACGTATTATCAACCCGCCGGCGATCCGGCGTCGAACGCGCGTCGAGATAGCTGTGCTCGAGCTCCCGGCGAGATAAGGTTGCGTAATTGCTGGATGGAAATTTTCTGGAATCACCTTTAACAACAATCTTATACTT